TCTAGCCTCTTTTTGCCTTGGGGCTGTTTCCACGGGGTCTCTCCAGTAGCTCTGCTAGTCCTGGTTGGACTCAGAGGGCTCAATGCCAAGTCTTGAAGTTCTTGTAAAATTTCCCATTTACAAATAACATAGTTGTTTTGTTTTTCAATTTTATTTTCGAAACGTGGAAAGGTTGGACAAAGGGTTCCCATTTAACATTTCCATCTGAGGCAGACTTTTTTTAAAAATTAGAATTATGATTTGAACTCAGGACCTTGTACCTGCTAGGCAGGTATTTTCAGATGCATTTGAGTGGCCAGAATTCACCGTTCACCAGGGAAGGCTGAGGGCTACTGGGCCACGGAGCCACATTCCCTTCCCCACATGTGTTGGCATGTCCCCGCGTTCGCACGTTCGGGGTCGCAGAGGGACTTGAACAAGGACGGCAGTCAGCCCGCGTCTCTCTGGCAGAGGCAGCCTGCCCGGGACAGATGTATTCCGAAGGCCTCGGCCGGTGCCCCTTGCAGGAATGGTGCACATGTGTTCAGCAAGAGCAGCTGGGGTCCCACGGGCCTGGAAGGCGGTGTGGGGGGCTCGGGAACTGCTCCCAGGGGGTGCCCAGGGCCACAAGGCCTGACGCACAGGCGCTGGACCTGCAGCTGGCCGGGCAAAAGCCTCCTTACTCCAGGCCGGGTGGCCCCCCACCGTGCGCCGCACCCCACACCTCTCGGGCACGAGGTCAGTACACCACCATTGCTTTAGAGCTTGCTGGCCCCGGCCAGGCCGCAGGCTCAGGGCTGAGAGGGCCGCTCCTCCCTTACAAACGGGGCTACGGGATGACGACACGAGGCTGAGATCTAGACTCCACCAGTGGGCTGGCAGCGATGGATCCATCCACTCTCGTCAGTACTGACTCTCATTCTTAAGAGAGAACTTTGTAACAATGCTTTCATCCTTTAGGTTAAAAAAAATGGAGGATGAGGCGGGGTGCCGGTGGCTCACCCTTGTAATCTTAGCAACGCAGGAGGCTGAGCTCCAAGGATCCTGGTTTGAAGCCAGCCAGGCAGGAAAGTCCAGAAGACATTTATCTCCAATGACCAGCAAAAAGCCAGCTGTGGTTCAAGTGGTGGAGCACCAACCTTGAGGGAGAAGGCTAGGGGACAATGGTCAGACCCTGAGTTCAAAACCCATTTATCCCACACGTGCACGCTTACACACACACACATACGCACACACTCACCTCTTGAGAATAAATTCAGTGCCCATTTCTCCTAAACAGTACCCCATTTTACAGGAAAGGAAAGGGGCCTAGTCCTGCCATTACCCACCTCTCAGCAGCAGCAGTAAGATCATTTCAATAGCTCAAATGTCTTGAGTCAGTTTATTCTTGAGCACAGAGTTGTGAAATCAAACTCATGGCCAAAGCCACACCAAACCAAGGTCCTGGGCCCCTCCCCCCAGCTCCGCTCAGCTCCCCTCCCTCCTTCCTCCTCCCTCCTCTCTCCACTCCTTATTTTTCTTCCTTTCAAGAGACAGCATCTCACTGTGTAGCCCTGGGTGCCCCTGAACTTCGTCCAATACCTAGAAATCTCCATTAAACTCCTGATGGTGTTATCCAGGAGATTATAAAATAGAAATTAGAAAAATCTTTAATGCCTATTTTCTGCATGGCAAGCAAGAAGTATTTCTCTAGGGTTCTACTTATTCCTACTTTAGCCCTGTTATACTAAACTAAATCCTTGCGAAAACTTTCAAAAAATAAAATAAAATACAACTCAGTTAGATGTACATGTGGGAGACCTTAGGAATATTCCCTTTCAATGATAAACTTCTTAACCAAGAGGAAAAACAAACAGTTACCCATGCAAGGTTAGAAATTAAACTAAACAAAGGATCTAAAAAGAAGAGGCAGTGGGCACGGTGCTGCCTGCCTGTAATCTCAGCGCTGGGGAGGCCGGACAGAGGGGGTTCCAGGTCAGCCTGAGCGATGAGGCCGGATCGTCTCACAGGCCATGAACGGGTCCCCGGAGGAATGGACGGAAAGGGTGTATGGGGAGTCATTAACCAACATTTAAGAAGTGATTCTGCTTTGTTTTGTAAATTTACCTCTCTGACACCTTAAATTAAAAGACTTTTAGGGATCCTTATTGTCCATTTGACATTTAGAATTTTTGCATTATTTGAGTCTAGCTTGTCTCGTAATTACTATGAAAAAAAAGATTCCATGAAATGTCAAATCGAAAGAATAGGAATAAACAAGCAGTCAAGGGAAGTTTGATGTAATCACATTTATGCCTACGGTGTGTGTGTGTGTGTATGTGTGTGTGTGTGTGTGTGTGCATACGTGTGCACACCTATACTGGGGCTTGACCTTGGGGCCTTGCACCCTTGGTTGGCTTTTTCACTCAAGACTGGTGCTTTACCACTTGAGCCACTGCTCCACTTCTGGCTTTTTGCTGGTTACCTAGAGATAAGAGTCTCATGAACTTTCCTGCCTGGGCTGCCTTTGAAGCGCAGTCCTCAGATCTCTGCCTCCTGAGTCGCTAGGATGACAGGCGTGGGCCACTGGAGCTTGGCTCTATGCCTAGCAATTTTATCAGTGCACACACTGTCCAACTTATTACCCCACTATTAATGGAATTAGAAAATGAGGGTGTGGAGGTCACCATATGGAAGGAAGTGGCTGGGAAGGTGTGAGCCTTCCCCTCCAGCGGGGAGACTTTGCTCAGTTTGAACAACTGATAGTGCTCATAAACACCAGTTCCTTCTGAATGGTGCAGTCATTCTTTTGGTGTGTATGTGGGGTCAGTCATGGGGCTTGAACTCTGGGCCTGGGTGCTGTCCCTCAGCTCTTCAGCTCAAGGTGAGTGCTCTACCACTTGAGCCACAGCGCCACTTCCAGATTTCTGGTGGTTCATTGGGGATAAGTCTCACGGTCTTTCCTGCCTGGGCTGGCTTTGAACCTGGATCCTCAGATCCCAGCCTCCTGAGTAGCTAGGGTGACAGGTGTGGGCCACTGGCACCCGGCTGCAGCCATTCATCTTGAAAACACGCACAGATCAGCTTTCGTCCACGCGCCTCGGACTTGCTGGCCTTTACTGTCCTGCTAAGTGTGCATTGTACTGGAATAATATAAATCCGGTCCGCTGAATTCCTCAAGGTAGTACACGCCTCCTTTAAGCGCTTTAAGCTGCATTTTTCATTCTTTCCATGGTAAGATACTCTATATTTTATTATTCTTTCCAGGGCATTTCTGTGCAAGGAATCCACACAGTAGCGTCTAGGCGTTCAGTCAGAAGGGAGAAGGAAGAGCGAGAGGGAGAGGAAAGGCGGGAGGTGGGGACAGCAACCAGGCTCAGAGGGAGCAGAGGCCCGGGGAGAAGGCAAACCCTGAGGAGGTCAGGCCCCGTCCGCGATCCACCTGCCGTGCCTCCCGGTGAGCAACTCCTAGAGCTGACTGGGGAGCAGAAGCCCCCAGCCTCTCCTCCAGTTCCACTCACAGCCTGCTCGGAGTGCCCGCCAGCGCTCAGGCAGGAAGTCCCACCCACCTGACAGAGACGCACGTGCGCGGTCACCCTTCAGACCATTCTTGCCGCTCTTTTCCACACTGTGCTTTCTCGCTGGAGAAGTAAGAGAGAGGTTCCCTGGCTGATCTCTCCTTCAAAACCTTCCAAGTCTTCTAGGCTGACCTTCTAGACTCTTCTAGATAAAATATCCAGACCCCTAGGCCATGTGTCAGGAGGCTGTGGATGCACAACCTAAGTCTGGCTGCCGAGACCATCTGGTCACTCGCGGTGGCTTCTGAGGACCATCTGTGCGGTGTGGCGGAGCCGCCCCGACCCTGACCAGGGTATATGTTGTGTTAACACTTTATACACATGATACTTCACCCTCAGAAAAACGCTGAGGTGGACAGGCCTCAGGGATATTTTACTGGACAAGAAATGGGGAAGGGCTGGGAAGGTGGCTCAGTGGTAGAGCGCTTGCCTTGCATGCCTGAGGCCCTGGGTTCGATTCCTCAGCACCACATAAGCAAAAAGAAAAAAGCCG